AAACTCTTGTAGTTCTTTAATTATGAAATCAGTTTTTTCTCCGCTGTTCTCATTACCCTCATCCGAAACATTGATGGTGGTGCTTGGGTCATTTAGGCCCTTGCCACGATTATTGCAGGTTAAGCAGTGAAAATGAAAAAAGATATTTGCCTTCAGTTTGCTCGTTGCTGTGCGCTTCGATTAAATTATCTGAGATTATTTGACATTTGCTGTGGTATATCTTATGGCACAGCTCGCATTCAACTGACTACTGCCTGAGAGTAATTTTCCTCTCACACGTCAAACAATCGTCATACCCTCTATAGTATATACAGGAAGCCTGTGTATAATATACATACCCTGTACATTAAATTCAGCCACCCAGGAAATCAGATCAACCAAAAGAAAGTAGTCGGGGTCCTTCTCGACTCACAATCGGGAATCCCAATTTCGAATACAGGGCAGGACAGAAATGGTTGGGCACGTTTCCATTCATTTAGGCTTTTGTTTACCTAGCAGTAAATAGGTACCCAGGAATTAGCCAAAAGTTGTGGGATGCAACCTGGGAAAGGTCAGTGGTTCGAGGTTTGGGGGAGGAGGATACCAGCCTAACATACACACGCAAGGTGTCTACACCCCGACGAAACGAATGATTATTTACCTGAATTTGGGAATTATAGGAATTTGGAATTAAGGAATTATAAAACATAAAGAGAGATCCAGTCTTTCTTTGCCTATATAAGATCACACCAGACAAGTTATAATTGTCGATAGAAGAACACCAAAGACTCTGAATGAATACTTCCGTCATCAGTGCTCACATTAGAAAGATTAGACAACATCCCAATACCACACACAGATGTTGGAAGCAGGTAAAGAGAACGAAGTAAGGGATACACCTATAACGCGCGACATAACCAGAAAGATACTTGGCAAACTAAAGATTCAAAAGCCCAAAGTGTGGATTGAATTCAGCCCAAAATATATATAAAAAAATAGGAGATGAAAGAAGTTTACCAATGAAACTCCTTTTCAGAAAATCTTTGAACAAAGGGATAGTTCCCATAGATTGGAAATTCCTCTATATTCAAAAAAGGAAGAAAAACTACCGTCTCATCAGCCTAGCCTCACACACTCACGGAGAGATTCCTAAGTGAAGGAATCATTCACCTTCTCATCGTGAACTATCTTATAAAATCAACGCAATATATGATTTTATTAGAAATAAATGATGCTCTACAAACCTGCTCACATTTTTAGAAACGGTAACCAGCTAGACAGAAGAGTTCCAGCAATAATAATAATAATTCATTGCATCAGGGAACAATTGCGGTGTGTGAGGTGGGGGAGAGTGATGGTGTGTGAGGTGGCGTCAACACCACAATATGCAGCATCACAGTGAGTGTCCACTAGTCCACAAGGCCATCTCATGTAACCCTTACTCCTTCACATACAATAAGGTAGTAACCTACTGCAGTTTACCTAAGCGTGTTAAAAAAACGGAAATTTATATTTTATGATAAACCTGTACGTATATATGCATTTGTTAAAAACAATATACAATATTTTATAGCAACCAGTTTATTATTTAGGGATATTTTGTTTGAGCTTTAAAAAAAAATGATTTTTTTTTTTAAAGCGTAGGTACAGTACACAGTGTATGCTACTACCCTATTCTATGTATGCCTATATATTATTATACCATTCAAGCTTGTTCGCATGCCTATATATTATATGTAAGGCCTATTCCGAGGTCTTGCCCTGAACCATATTCGATCCTATCTTAGTGATAGACACCAATATGTAGCAATCAATGATATAACCTCTCCCACTCTACCATTAACCGTAGGAGTGCCACAGGGCAGCATCCTAGGACCTCTCCTCCTCTTATATATATATATATATATATATATATATATATATATATATATATATATATATATATATATATATATATATATTATTAAATATGACCGAAAAAGTAAGATTAATAATTCTAACACGAATTTTCTCAATCTTTCGTACATTACGCTTCACTGTTGGAGGTAAATCAAAAATCACTTCTCCAAAATTCATTTTTATTTCTAGTCTGACGCGACACGGGCGCGTTTCGTAAAACTTATTACATTTTCAAAGACTTCACAAATACACAACTGATTAGAACGTATCTCTGATTTTATATCTACATTTGAGTGAGGTGGTAAGGGTGATGTGGCATTAACACAAGACAGAACAGGAGGGGATATTAATAGGGTATTAAAAGTATCAACACAAGACAGAACAGAAACAATGGGTATTGAATAGAAGTGTTTGTAGAAAGCCTATTGGTCCATATTTCTTGATGCTTCTATATTGGAGCGGAGTCTTGAGGTGGGTAGAATATAGTTGTGCAATAATTGGCTGTTGATTGCTGGTGTTGACTTCTTGATGTGTAGTGCCTCGCAAACGTCAAGCCGCCTGCTATCGCTGTATCTATCGATGATTTCTGTGTTGTTTACTAGGATTTCTCTGGCGATGGTTTGGTTATGGGAAGAGATTATATGTTCCTTAATGGAGCCCTGTTGCTTATGCATCGTTAAACGCCTAGAAAGAGATGTTGTTGTCTTGCCTATATACTGGGTTTTTTGGAGCTTACAGTCCCCAAGTGGGCATTTGAAGGCATAGACGACATTAGTCTCTTTTAAAGCGTTCTGTTTTGTGTCTGGAGAGTTTCTCATGAGTAGGCTGGCCGTTTTTCTGGTTTTATAGTAAATCGTCAGTTGTATCCTCTGATTTTTGTCTGTAGGGATAACGTTTCTATTAACAATATCTTTCAGGACCCTTTCCTCCGTTTTATGAGCTGTGGAAAAGAAGTTCCTGTAAAATAGTCTAATAGGGGGTATAGGTGTTGTGTTAGTTGTCTCTTCAGAGGTTGCATGGCTATTCACTTTCCTTCTTATGATGTCTTCAATGAAACCATTGGAGAAGCCGTTATTGACTAGGACCTGCCTTACCCTACAGAGTTCTTCGTCGACTTGCTTCCATTCTGAGCTGTGGCTGAGAGCACGGTCGACGTATGCGTTAACAACACTCCTCTTGTACCTGTCAGGGCAGTCGCTGTTGGCATTTAGGCACATTCCTATGTTTGTTTCCTTAGTGTAGACTGCAGTGTGGAAACCTCCGCCCTTTTCCATGACTGTTACATCTAGAAAAGGCAGCTTCCCATCCTTTTCCGTCTCGTAAGTGAAACGCAGCACGGAACTCTGCTCAAATGCCTCCTTCAGCTTCTGCAGATGTCTGACATCAGGTACCTGTGTAAAAATGTCGTCAACATACCTGCAGTATATGGCCGGTTTCAAGTTCATGTCGACTAAGACTTTTTGCTCGATGGTACCCATGTAGAAGTTTGCAAACAGGACACCTAGGGGAGAACCCATGGCGACCCCATCTACTTGCTTATACATGTGCCCATCCGGGCTCAAGAAGGGTGCCTCTTTAGTACAAGCTTGGAGTAGTTTCCTCAGAATACTTTCTGGCATGTCAAGAGGAGTACAGGCTGGATCACGATACACTCTGTCGGCTATCATTCCGATTGTCTCGTCCACAGGTACGTTGGTAAACAGCGATTCTACGTCCAACGAGGCTCTTATCCCTGTGGCCCGTGTGCCCCGCAGTAAGTCCACAAATTCCTTTGGAGACTTCAGGCTGAAGGCGCAAGGAACATAAGGAGTCAGCAGGCCGTTGAGTCGCTTTGCCAGTCTGTACGTGGGTGTGGGTATCTGGCTAATGATTGGCCTAAGTGGGTTTCCAGGCCTGGAAACCCACTTGGGTTAGTGTTCTGCTGAGCTTCTTCTGCCTTTTTTTGAAAATAGGAATAACATTTGCATATTTCCAATCATGGGAAACTATCCCTTGGTTCAGAGATTTTCTGAAAATGAGTTCCAGTGGTATGTATAGTTCATCTGCCAGTTCCTTTACGACTTTGGATTGAATTATATCTACACCTGGGGCTTTTGAGTCTTTTAATTTGTCAATGCTCTTCCGGATTATGTCGCATGTTATGGGTGACGTTTAATTCGTTTTCTTCACCTCCTTCAAACATATGTGTAGGTGATGAGATATCTTTTAATCTTTCTAGTGTGAACGCTGATGTAACGTATTCATTCAGTGTTAGTTGCCCTTTTATCGTCCAATATAACTTGGTTAGTTTCATCTTTTAAGAGTCCTACAGGCTGCCTGTCCCCTACACAATGAATTGTATAATCGGGTACATAAAGTGCATATATATGCACGTTAGTCTTAAAAGGTATCCGCAAATAATTTTAAGTAGGTAATTTCTAGCAAAATTTAAACATTTTTAATAGGTACATTGTAAAAAAAAATTGAAAAACGTTAATAGGTACATTGTAAGAAAATTTTAATTTGATTAGTAGGTACATTATACTAAAATTTGAGGATTATCAACAGGTGCATTATAGCATAATTTGATGATTATTTCTAGGTATATTGCTGTAAAATATGCGTTCAATTTAACAATCATGATATAAGATGATATCAGTGATTACAATGGTGAAATTGTATTTAAGGAAAGGAATGAGTTGTAAGGAAAGGAACAAGTTGTATTAAAGGAAACTTTGGGCAAAACTCTTAATTAATTTTGTTTTTGTTTACCTGTCCTGCCGCAAGGAGTGAACCCGGTACCCTAGGGTGTAAGTCGACGACGTAGACTGCTGCGCTACAAACCACAGAAGCGTTAGAAGAATTTCATTGTTTAGGTTGTTAATAATTAATTAGAATTTGCCTTAAACTAAATATTAAGTCGTCGAGTTAACTAAAATTATTTTTATTTCAAATGTAAACATCATAAAAAGATGGAATCTAATGAACAAATCCACAAGGGCCGTGACGGAGATTCCACCTAGCTAGATGGAATCTAGCTAGGTGGGTGATGGTATTAAATTGAGAGTGACAGGGAGGCGGGGCTGGGAGCGGAGCCTGACCCTGCCAGCAAGGAGAGAGAGGGAGGTGCGTGTAGGTGAGTGGTGTTGAGTGTGCATGATGGCGTGTGGTGGGTGAGACTAGGGAGGACGGGGGCCCCGAGTGTGGCGGCGGAGGAGGAGCGTCGAGCGTCTTTGTGGTGACGGTGATGACCATCACCATGTTAATCAGTGGCAGTGCAGGCTGGCCAGGCACCGTCCACGTCTCCTGGTGACTCGTCCATCACTCCCCATCACTACACCTGTGCCGCAGCTGTGCTCATGGAGGGAGTACGCTATAGGAAGGTGGGTCCTCTGGGGGTGCTGCCCCCCTGACCTCCACCTCATCCCCCCTCTCACACCTCATATACACACACACATGGCACTCTTCTCCCCCCTCGTGTCATTGACTGTTGCTAGGAAATAAAATGTAACTTAGGGGTTGGTGAGAGGGAAGATATAGATGACAACGGTAGAGCCGTGTGAGACCTGGGCGGCTGTGATGTGCTGCTCCTGCAGGTGTCGGCACACTCATCATAACTCATCAAGTGTGTTGATTCATTAAGCTGCTCAGTTAAGACTCATTTGCATCACTGGGTAGTGGACATGCAATTCTATTGCTAATTCGCGAGGAAAGTTTCGCTTGGGAAAGTTGACCTGTTTATTGAGAGATGTACTTGTAGTGTCACATTTAACACATCACAAGTGAGCTGTGCTTCATAATCCATTATCAGTGAGCTGTGCTTCATAACACATCACTAGTGAACTGTGCTTCATAACACATCACAAGTGAGCCGTGCTTCATAACCCATTATTAGTGAGCTATGCTTCGTAACACATCACTAGTGAACTGTGCTTCATAACACATCATAAGTAAGCCATGCTTCATAAAACATCACAAGTGAGCCGTGCTTCATAACACATCACAAGTGAGCTGTGCTTCATAACCCATCACAAGTGAGCTTTGCTTCAAAACACATTATTAGTGAGCTGTGCTTCGTAACACATCGCAAGTGAACTGTGCTTCGTTACACATCGCAAATGAACTGTGCTTTGTAACACATAGCAAGTGAACTGTGCTTCATAACACATCACGAGTGAGCTGTGCTTCGTAACACATCACGAGTGAGCTTTGCTTCGTAACACATCACAAGTGAACTGTGCTTCGTAACACATCACAAGTGAGTTGTGCTTCATAACCCATTATTAGTGAGCTGTGCTTTGTAACACATCACAAGTGAGCTGTGCTTCATAACACATCACAAGTGAGCTGTGCTTCATAACACATCACAAGTGAGCTGTGCTTCATAACACATCACAAGTGAGCTGTGCTTCATAATCCATTATTAATGAGCTTTGCTTCAAAACACATTATTAGTGAGCTGTGCTTCATAACACATCACGAGTGAGCTGTGCTTCATAACACATCACGAGTGAGCTGTGCTTCATAACACATCACGAGTGAACTGTGCTGCGTAACACATCACAAGTGAACTGTGCTGCGTAACACATCACGAGAGAACTGTGCTGCGTAACACATCACGAGTGAACTGTGCTGCATAACACATCACGAGAGAACTGTGCTGCGTAACACATCACGAGTGAACTGTGCTGCGTAACACATCACGAGAGAACTGTGCTGCTTAACACATCACGAGAGAACTGTGCTGCGTAACACATCACGAGTGAACTGTGCTGCGTAACACATCACGAGTGAACTGTGCTGCGTAACACATCACGAGTGAACTGTGCTGCGTAACACATCACGAGTGAACTGTGCTCCGTAACACATCACGAGTGAACTGTGCTCCGTAACACATCACGAGTGAACTGTGCTTCGTAACACATCACGAGTGAACTGTGCTTCGTAACACATCGCGAGTGAACTGTGCTTCGTAACACATCGCAAGTGAACTGTGCTTCGTAACACATCATAAATGAACTGTGCTTCGTAACACATCGCAAGTGAACTGTGCTTTGTAACATGCCACTAGTTAATTGTGCTCTGTAACACTCCACTAGTGAGCTGTGCGTCATAACAAGCCTCTAGTGAGCTGTGCTTCGTAACACGCTGCTAGCAAGCTGTGCTTCGTAACACGCCTCTAATGAGCTGTGCTTCGTAACACGCCTCTAGTGAGCTGTGCTTCGTATCACGCCACTAGCCGGCCCATCCTCATAAACAAAGGCCAAGTCCATTCCATGCACCCGCCAAACCCCCTGTTTATGAATGGAAAAACTGTTTACACATGACTCTCAACTGATGACGTCCAACCACTTCTGGAACAAGTTCTTCACTGGCGCCTTTTGTCCAAACCACAAAGCTGTAAATGCTTCACCCACGTACTACAAATTATCACCAACAGAACCTATATATCTAACCTAACCAATGCCTAAATATGCATACTATGCTAATACTGTATATAATAATAATCATTTATATTTGAGAAAATTCCTGTTTTGCATGAACAGCATGTTAAAATTGATGAATGCATCTTTGAGGTTGACCACTGGATGGAATGAACATAGACTGAGGAAGGGTTGCACTAGTGAGCTGCACTTCATAATATAACTAGTGAGCTGAGCTTCATAATATCACTAGTGAGCTGTTCTTCATAACAGTGGTGAAAGAAAGAGTAGCCATAAAATACAGCAAAACATTGTAGTGCTGATGAAAGTAGAAAAGAATATTTTGGGCACTGTAAGGTTATCTTACACAAGCATTTTCAATAAATATGGTTTCTAATTCAAGTACAAGACAGTTGCCCAACTCATGGGATACCTTTTTACTGCTAGGTGAACAGAGGCATTAGGTGAAAGGAAACATGCTCAGCTATTTGTCCCACTTGGGGATTGTACCTGGGAATCTCAGTTGTGAGTTGACAACATTAGCATTGTATTAAAGGACCCTAATATGATGGAATATCGTCTTGTGTAAAATGATCAGTCTGTATTTGGGCCTTGCCTTTGGTACAGTTCAGTGTAGTACAGCTTCCTTCAATTTTACTACATTGTGTAAATAACAGTTTTTGAACTGTACTGATAAGCACGAATTCTAATTCTGTAACTAGTTTTTCCTCTTCTTGTGTGTAACTTGAAGGAATAAGGTGGAAGAGTTGTGAAGTATTGTTATACAGTACCTGGCAAGGACTTGCTTGGCACTAGTGTGTCCACTTATGTGGTTTGTACCTTTTATCTTGATCATGAAGACTTGGTCATCATTTACTAAGTAGTTTGTGGACCCAGAAGCATTATGAGGTTACTGTATCTTCATCCCAAGATTATTATGAACATCCTCATAGCACTTTGAGCTCATAAATTTTTAGCAAATACGAGCATCTTAGCTACCACAAGACCATTCAGCTCATCTTTGTAGAATTGACTACATCAGTGTGTGCAGCACATATTCATTATGTCTAAAATGCTGTGAATAATTATTGGATTAGTAAAGTATACAAAATTAGTACCTACTAAGTAACCATTGTAATCTGCATTTTGTTTAAATTAAATACATTAGTTAATATTCTAAGGAATATAGATATGTTGGGTACAGGCACATAGGGCACTGCAATACACTACTGTATTTGAATACAAGTTAAATTAATTAACACTGCACTGCTTGTACAGTGTGTAAGAGAAATATATATAGACATAATAGAAGAAAAATAAATTGGTTAGAAAGGTGGGCTCCAAGAGCTAATAGCTTGATTCTGTAGATACAAATACATAATAAATACAGTATTGTTTTTATAATCCTACTTTGTGCTGTATTTAAATAGTGCAGCACCTGAAAGATGCTAGTATCCAATATACAGTGCATATCCACAATTGTTAGGTAGTTTAATTATTCAGATGATTCTCAAATTATTCCTGAGAAGGGTGCATGCTCTTTAGTAAGATATACTCTCCAAAGAGACATCCTGTACCAGTATCATCATTGAGGCATGAAAAATACTGAAGTACCAGTACAGTACATCCCGGAAAAAGCAGCAAGTGGCCGCCTTCTCTGAACTGGCCAAGAGATCCAAAACTTTCTTCAAGCAGGGAACAAGACAAGGCATCCTCCCTGATGCGCAAGGAACCAGATTTACTAATCTGGGAAATAACTTCCCACAGGTCTGACTGAGAGAGAATCTTGAGCATTTACACTCACTGATACTAGTCACAGTAATAGATAAGGTGAGAGGAACAATAGACCAACAAAAAACTAATAAAATAAAATAAAATAAAATAATAAATAGAATCATATACAGTACAAAGCTGAAGCAAACCACGCAGCTATGAGCACCATTCTTTGCCACCCAAATGAGTAAGTAATTTACTAAGTAATTTACCTACTCATTTGAATAGGTAATAGTTTTAGCATAGTATGGCATTCCTATTGCTGGGTAGAGAATCCTTTTCACCCTCGGGAAAACAACATTTGTTGTCGATATACAGTACAGTACACTACAGTACAGTACCTTGATTCTGGCTGAGCTGTTTTCTTGGTTGACAGCTTATGAGTATTATCCTGATAGTTCCCTTACCCCGACCCCTTCCAAGTGCTACATAGTCGCAATGGCTTGGCGCTTTCTCCTGATAGATCTTTTATGAGTATTATCTGAAAAAAATTTAAGCTTTAATTTTTGTTATTTTACATTGTGTATTATGATAATGAAATCTTGCAGAATTTATAACTGAGAGAGATAATTTATAACTATTCTAAAGCTATTGGAAAACTTCATATTAGTGAATAAACATTATGCTAAAAGTAACATTGAGTACAGTGCAAAATTTATTTAATTTTAATTATTACTATGGTATACTTTAAACTACAATACCAACATAATTCATTAGTGTTGTACCTGTATTGTCCTTTCTTCATATCTAGGTCGTAACAAAATTTTTATTACACTTGTCTGAAACCTAACTTAGCCTCTCCAGGTAAGTGAAGAGCTGGCATAATTTTGGCTTTATATAAAGGTTATACACTATATTATAAAGGTACCTTTATACCTACCATATAACATTATGACAAGTACTGTTCGATTTTATAAATGGGTTATGATTATTTGCTAATGTGATTTCATGTAGACAATGAGGAGCGTTTCATGTAGACAATGAGGAGTGTTTCATGAAGACAGTGAGGAGCGTTTCATGTAGACAGTGGGGAGCGTTTCATGTAGACAGTGGGGAGCGTTTCATGTAGACAGTGAGGAGCGTTTCATGTAGACAGTGGGGAGCGTTTCATGTAGACAGTGAGGAGCGTTTCAAGTAGACAGTGGGGAGCGTTTCATGTAGACAGTGAGGAGCGTTTCAAGTAGACA